TCCCTCCGGACTACGCCGGAAGGTAGGGCGGAAGGCCCTCTTCAGCCTGCTTTCAGGAATCGTGGGAATGGGCGGGTGGTGGTTCAGATGAGAAAGTTGAGACGGACGAAATGAAGACAGACGAGAATGAAAGATTATCTGTGGAATATTACTGCCCTAGCATTTGCTTAAGTGATCCAAGGAAACCACAGAAAAACTTGTACCAAGGCAGACGGACCCGAAATCGAACCGGCGTCCTCCGAATGCTAAGCAATGGTCTAAACCATGTACAAAAAAAAACTTTTGGGTGTTTCATTCCCACCAGCCAGTAATACTGGTGGGCGGGCAGTCCCTCCGGACTATGCCGGAAGATAGGGCGGAAGGCCCTCTTCAGCCTGCTTTTAGGTATCGTGGGAATGGGTGGGTGGTGGTTGGGGTGAGAAAGATGAGATGGACGAAATGAAGACAGAAGAGAATGAAAGATTATCTGTGGAATATTACTGCCCCAGTATTTGCCTAAGTGATCCAAGGAAACCACAGAAACACTTGGACCAAGGCAGACGGACCCGGAATCGAACCGGCATCCTCCCGAAAGTTAGGCCATGCCGCTCGGTCCCCCCATGTACAACTTAACGACTCACTTAAATACATTTTGCACCCCCTGAAGAGAGGGAGGGTGAATAAACTGTCTCCAGTACAACCATGAACATTGTTCCTCAAGAGGACAGATATTTTGACCGGAAGGGTCCGGCAAAAGTACCTGGAGTGTAATAAATGTTTAAAAAATAGGCACAGCAAATGTCTCTAACAAATTTAACATCAAATTAAAATATTTCTAGTAAACTCCAGTAATGCATTGAAATATATCATAAAATTAATTCTGAACAATTATGGTCAGAACATAATATATTTTGTAGGCGAGAAAATAAATTAAGGAGTTGTAATTAATGTACGATGTTCGTGAGCGAGAAATGTAAGAAACGATCAGAAAAAGAAAAGAATTAATGAAACCATTTAAGGGCTATTTAGCAACTGGAAGTTTACAACGTCATAAATCAGAGGGGGCAAAATACTCCCACTGCGAATTGGGAAATAGAATACGATTGCAGCGAAAAGAGGGCGGCAAGTGTAAAACTGTCGCAAAGTATTTCTTTCCGAAAACTTTTTCCCGAGCAATTTCCACCCTATTGATCAGCGGCTCTCGGTTCTTTCAAGTCGCGTCCACATTCTATTTGGGATCTTTTTACGGGAGAAGTGTGCCGGCTAAAAGATGACCGAAACTCAATTCATTTACTTCACAACTGGCAGCACTTTACTTACCTGCCGAGTAGGTTACTTTTTGTACTTTGGTTTGCCGACAGTGAAGAATGTAAGTGCTTTCTGGCGTGAGTCAAAAGTAGGAAAATGGTGCAGAGTCACCCTGATGGAGTATCTCTGGCTACTTACTCTGACATCACATAACGATAAACAACCACGACTACGTCTCATTAACTTCTACTTTAAAATTATTTACGATGATAGAAGCAAACAAAGGGTTCCATGTTAGTAGTAGAGATGCACTAGATAGTGACTTTTCCGGGTACCTGATGACCGGCATAACCACCAAAGTTCATGTCTTCGTTTTGATGAGCTTTCCATTAAACAACACCCTCACTAAACCAAAGAAATTTAAATTTTAATTCTTGGTTAATGGATTTTCAAGTTGAAACCGCTGAAATATAATATTCACATCATAAGGTCGTCAGTCTTAAGATTGGTTGGACAAGCACCTCCACTCGTTTATATCCTGAGCTAATCTTCGCATTTCCCTAAAACTGGAACAACCCACATCGTTAACTATTACGAACTAAGCGAACAGTAATCTAATTTAGATCTACCTCTACCCCTTCTAACTTCCGTTTCTACCTCTAATATGTCTCTGACTAGACCTTCATGCCTGAGGGGAACTAACCTATCTCGCCTATTTCTTATTCACTTCCATAGAATCCTTTGTTCTCTTACTCTATCTAAAACCTCTTCATTTCTAACTCTATCCACGGTATCCTCATCATTTACCTGTTACACCGCATTTCGAACGCTTCTAATTTTCTTTTCCGCCACGCCCATGGCTCCAAGCATACATATTTAAGAACATTTTTCGAATTTCTAAATTAACCGTTCGCGAGCATAGAAAAGTAACTTCTTTTTATTAAAGGCGACTCTACCCTGCGCTATCGTCTGCTTTATATCTGACTTCCTAGATACCTAAAATCGGCCACTTCTTCTAATTTTTCGTCTCCTATCTTTATATTCGCCCTTTCCTTACTTTTCCCTCCCTTGCATACCAGTATTTTTGTTTTCATTTATTTATCTTCACAGTACTGTTTTTTTAATACCGCTTCTATTTTATTTAAAGCTATCTCTAACTTCTCCTTGCTAATCTAAGCAAACTAATCTTTTACCCCTGTATATCTATCCCCACAGATGTACTATCTCTAATGATGTTGATCGCGTTTTCGATGTATAGATTAAAAAGTAGCGCTAACAATGTGCATTCCTGTTTGACTCCCTTCCTAATATTTACTTCTCTACGTTGCAACCCCATTTCTATAACTGCCTGTTGTTCTTCATACAAACTATTACTCTTCTATCCTTGTAACTCATCCCTTCTTCCACCCTTTTTTTCCATCCTCTTCTGTACAATTATAGTTAAAATTTTTGACGCATGGGAAGTTAAGCTAATTGTTCTAGATGTCTGGCACCTATCCGCGGCTCTCTTTTTATGTACAGTTACTACCACGTTTCGTTTATAAACCTCTGGAACTTTCCCCGTCTCGTAAATGTGACTAACTAGCTTAAACATACGATCTCTAACCTCTTGTCCTGCACGTTTTAGCATTTCCCCCTGTATCCCATCTACACCTGGCGCCTATTCTTTAAGTTTTTTAATATTCACAAACACTAAAAATCTGCAATGTGACAAAATCACGCTGATAATAAGTTATCGCTAATCAAAACCTGATATACCAACAGTTCAGTCATACTGATATATTTTTCACACAAGAATAAGTATAGTAATCAATAAATAATACAAATTAGGACAAACCACCTACCCCAATAGGTGGTTCAGATGAGAAAGTTGAGACGGACGAAATGAAGACAGACGAGAATGAAAGATTATCTGTGGAATATTACTGCCCTAGCATTTGCTTAAGTGATCCAAGNCTTTTTTATACTTATTAGCTCGTGTCGATTCCAACATAAATTGAGAATATGAGATCGGGAATAAATTAAATGTCGAGATTTAGTACTTTAAAAAAATTTATTCATTTTCTTCATCTCTGCTTCATAAAAAATGGTTGGTTTCATCCTAATGGCTACATTTTTTTATTATACCCCTCCAACAGAAATTTATTGCAAACTCGATTTATTTAACTCTCGTTCGACTGAGAGGTTCGTTTTTAATTTTTCGGAAAGTCCGCAATCGCACTGAAGGGACCCTTAACTGCGAATGTCTCGTTTGATGAAGGACGAAGTCGTGGCATGAATGATTCGCGAGATAAGAAGGGCTGAAGGGCGAGGGAAGAAATGTAGTGCGAAAGTGGTGCTTGAAAATATTAAAACGTTCTATTTCTTTAACAGTTCGCAGTACTGCAAACGGCAGGCAGCGTCGCAAGAGCTGTTTATTAATTTTCTTCGACCTTATTAAATGAGAGAGGTTTTCACTCAACAAGCGCGAAAATTTAGATGACTGAATCCAAATTATTCCTCTAACAATTTTTAGTGAACGCAATTACTGTTTCCTAGAATAGTCTTTGCAATTGCAATATGATGTCTGGTCTTCTCAGTACAAGAAAAACACATTGAACAAAGAATCTTAAGAAATAGAATTCAAAGCTGAACTCATCCCTCGTTTACTGAATGTAGGTACCTACTGCATGTATTTCTCAATCAGAAAAACGATTGTTCAAAATGTCTAAAGTGAACAGTGTTGCAAATTCATCTCTTCGGGTGAAATGTGCAACAATCTGTTTTTATTTTAAACTGGTGGCGCCTTTGGAGACGGCACATAGATGGGCACAGTTGGTACACATTCCCACTGTTGTATCCCATGTGATGTTAAGTGCCTAATAGTAAAATGAATGAATAAGAAAATGCTATCAACATTGCGCTCCTATTTCAAGAATGACTACAAGTAATCGGCGATTTTTCGCAAAAATATGTAAGCTTGAAATTGTATAGAAGACATGAATATCATTAGAATAAAGAAAATATTGAATAGGTACATGTGTCCTACATTATAAAAAATGCTATTGGAAAAAGATAGTTGGGACCAATTTCGGGTGTACTGTTGGTTGCATATGTTCTAACGAAATTCTATAACCAACAAATTCAGATTGATAGTTGGTTACATATATATCTAAAATGCATATATACATACATTTTGAACGGGCTCAGCCAGAGTTATGCAATAATCGCCCAGCCCCAGTAGATAGTAGTGAACCAACACCTCGTTCTCGCGAGATTTTTTCGTAGAGTTGAGCAGCGGCAGAGGAAAGTTCTGCTCCAGCTTTGAGATCGATTCGGGCGAATTGAGCGAGCGCGTTCCGTTTTAGCGAGTCTCTCGCCTCTTTTGCTCGCCAGTGCCGACGCGGACGTCGCTTATAGCGGGTGCTTCAAACGACGCCAAGCGTCGACGACGTTGATCCTTTACAACCCGAATTGTCACTAACGGAAGAAAGTATCGGGTTATCGTACCGAAAATTTTCAAAAGACTTGTTTTTCGATCAAGTTTTGACTGAAACGAGTGTGTGAAACACGAGTTCGTGATAATAAGATACAATTCGTTTCATTTGGGAGCGAACTTAATATTTGTAAGTTTGTTGCAGATTTTTTTTGTGTAACGTGTTATTGAAAGCAGGAGAAGCGATCAACTTTATTGCGATGCTCAGAATTTCATAAAAATGTTACTTAGATATTTAAGAGTACGGAAAAATAAAGATTTTTACCAAATTTATTTTAAATGCTGATCAAAAATGAAAAAAGAAAAAAGTTGTAAAGTTCACTGTATTTGCAGGCCCTAACAAATCAGATTATGCATGTCGTATTTGACAGTTGGATGTCTTACTATAAATATTTTCTTATAGGTAATTAAACTACCGTTTCCGTGACAAGACATTAGATATCAATCTATACTTGCTCCCCGGCTTCTCTTTTACAGAAATTTCGACCATAAAACTGTAATATAGTATTAGAAAGGAAATATGTAATTGAATCAAATACTGAAGTTACATTTCGAATACAGATCGAATTTTTGAAATAAACAAATATCTAGTAATAAAAAATGGAAGTGACTTAAAAAGTTTTTATTCTCATTTTGAAGGAAAAAGGAAATGTAAATTTATTGTAGAAAAAAGGAAATTTATTTTCAACTTGTAAATGTCTACCAATAAGAAAACTTATCCCAAAAAAACAAAAAGCTCAATTGGGTTGTCAAACTTAATTTTCATTGTTCGAGGTTTATCTGTGTATGAATATTAGATAGGTAGGAAATTTATTTCTTTTTAAACTAACTTTAAATGATACTCTGGAACCAATACAAAGCAAATGAGATAAAGCAGCTGAAATGTTATCTAAATGGAGCTTAATAGAAAATCTTTTCAAATTTTGTCTAACTTAAGTATATACATATTTTTATATTACTTCTATTTTCCTCATTTCCTTATAGCCTAATACTTCCCAAGTGTATTTTTGATTTCATCCCCACATCTTATTAAGATCTGAGATAAATCAACTACCAAATCGCCTTATTTTTTTTTCAATCGAAAACCAACTTTAATTATTTAGAAATAAAGAAGTGATTTTACCAAATGAAGTAATTCTACTCGTTTTAGAAAGGTTTAGGTATTGAAAAGTCTTTTATTGTGGAAATTTCTACAGGAGATATTCTGAGAACACCAAAAGTTACCACTGACAAAGGAAGCCCTTTCAAAGAAATAGCTTTTAGTGCATAAAGAAAAACTTTTACATATGAAACCTTACTGAACACTGATAGATTTTGACCTATCATCCTGGACTCCCTTTGTAGTAAAAAAAATTTTTTTGAAATATTAGGCATGCACTTAATTAATAGATCTTCTAAAAGAAATAGCATTAGAAAAAAATACTCAACAATATTCCTTAATGATTTAAAAAACAACTTTGTTATTAATTAGTATTGATTTGTCTTTTATCTTCGTAAAAAAACGACCTAATGACCGTTAACCATAATAACATTTTGAAAATTGTGATTTCTGATTAGAGGAATGTTTGGAAATTGGTTTTGTATACAGATAGTATAATTTTAAACTTATTGTTCGTGTTCGATGGCCAATCTGTAATTTACAAAGTTCTGGTCGTTGCGATTTATTTATAGGCAGAGTTGATTAGTTCAGAATTTGCCCTAATCCAAGGGTCTATTTTACCTTTCCCTCATCATAAATTAAAAAGATTTACAGGTTCCTTTGTTATTTCCCGTGAGGCCGTATAACGGGATACTTTGGCCATATTTTACAGGGGTAACACAAACGGGAAAAGTGAAGGTGGTATTTTGAACGTTTACAACCACTGAACTGAAGTCCGTAAATCACTATGGCTTAATATGACCCATAAAAAAATGATCGAGTATAATCCACACAGATTATCAACACGCTGAGAAATAACATGGACGATATATCTACATTTCGCAGGAATTTAAGGGGACTCGTTTAAGAAATCATAAATAAGACAATATAAAAATATGAATCTCTCAAATAGTCGCAAAAGAAAATAAATTGACATCACTAAAACAAAACTGTATCTAAATAATAAAGGTTTATTGTGCTTGAAATTGAAACATAAATCCACTGCGGCACCAGCAGCCTGTTTATGGTGGTATAATGATTTATCTAATAATAAAAAATTCGCTGACTGCAGCTGCCCTGATACGGGCCTAAAGACCGTCGTCAGTTGGAGTTGCTTCCTAACGTTTCGCTAGCACAAGTGGCGAAATTCTTCAGTCCACGTCCAGCATCAGAGATGGAACGACCCCTGAAGAAGTTCGCTACTTAAGAAACTAACGAAACGTTAGGAAACAACTCCAACCAATTTGTCAAAAAAACTCGTCATTATATAAAGACACATGAAGACAATACTTTTGGGATATTTTATGGTAGATCTTAAATTAACAAATAATGAAACTAGTTATTGGTTAAACACTAAACAGGTGTTAAATCGCACTTATTTCTTATTAGGAAAGGACTTTTTTGCTTAAACATCTTTTTTCACCATATGAATCTTTGTGATAATATAAGAAAATTTTGGTAAAAAAACTAGGAAACAAAAATTAATAATACATCTAGTAACGCTTGACGCCTTAACGTAAGTACGATAAGGACCTTCGTTCTAAAAAAAAAAAGAAAACTTGATTTCCACCCTATTTCCAACATCTACGCAATTGTTTTTTCTAAAGAAGAAGGAAAATAAAGTTTACTTCTGTCCTGAAACTGCTCGATACTCTAAAATGAAGTTTTTGAACTAAACAGTTTGTATAATCGGGCACATTACGGTTGGGTTGGGACCCACGCGCGCCTGTACCTATGGATTGTCGTAAATATAATCCATTTGTTATACAGTGTAACTTTTATTACTAAAAGGTCAGTCGTTCTGGGAGCTACTAAATCATCCCTTTTCCAAATAAATCACACAAACTGGCAACGCGAGTTTTGGACTAATTACGGTATTTCGTCAAACATTTTAAGGATTGTATAGGGCGAATGTCAAGGGGCAGATTAGCCCCATAAGGACCCATTCCAAGGATTCAAGTTCGGTACCGTCCATTTTATCTGCACTCTCTCTCTCTCTCTCTCTCCATGTCCCTGTTTGTTGTTTCTCTCTCTCTCTTTCTATGATACACATATATAGACCAACACAAACAATAACAGAATCGGTCGCAGGGAACGTAGGATCCTGACAGAAATCCATATGAATATCGCGCAATCCCCAGCTGGTGTTTCGCAAAATTAATACGAAAACAAAGACGGGATGAACATGAGAACGAGGGAACAAAGGCGCCGTGACAACAAAGAAGGTCCGGAGATGAATTAAGTGTTATGGTCGTCGTGTCGTCTGGGAGAAATATTTGCAAGGCGCCCCACAACCACTTACTATACGCATAAACTTACGAACACGTAGACACATACGTGTAAATTATTATTATGTATCCAGTAGCAAGAGGGAATGCCATTATTGGGATGTCAACTTTGCGTCCCTCAATTAAGTCATTACACGAAGGTGGATTTATACGTAATTGGAAAGGATAATAAAATATATCTTGAACGATAAGACGGTTTGTTGGCGACTTTGTTTAGATCTTTTAAGGGAAACAGCCGAGACTTATAATTTACTAGCGACCCGCCTCAGCTTCCACGGGTGCAATTCTGATATTAAATATGTATATTTTTGTTTTGTTTAGATTATTATCGAGAAGGGGAAATCTTCAAAAGATACCCACTGAACATACTAAATATACTACAGAATGTCTTTTTATATACAACATACACAGTTTTTTTGTCATTAGACAATACAAACCGGCTTCCCGGCCGGTACCGCCGCAACCTCTACGTCCCTGCATTTTAAGTCTGTAATATCTTCGAAAATATTCATTTAAATTACATGCTGTAAAGGGCCATATTGATCTATATTAAATGCACAATGTATTTAAAAGTACTTAATTGGATAAGAATTAATGCTGTATTGCCTACAATCGCTTCGTAAATAAGTCATTATTTCTCATAAAAAGTAGATAAAAATGGTTATTACTGTGGGTTATTTTGGTTATTGGGCGGAATTTTTGGAGACCCTTTTAAGATGTACAATATTGTAGTACATTATTTTGATCTATCTCGTAGGGTTCAGCCAGCGTTTGCAATGTAAGCGCAAAAAATGTGTTTATTTACGACATCACATTAGAAACCCCTAAAATTGTCAGTGTTTCCCTACCATATTATGCATGTATTATACATATAAACCTTCCTCTTGAATCAATCTATCTTTTAAAAAAACCGCATCAAAATCCGTTGAGTAGGTAGTTTTAAAGATTTAAGCATACATAGGGACAGACAGCGGGAAAGCGACTTTGTTTTATACTATGTAGTGAAGCTATTGGCAAACGTCTGGACTTAAAAATTAATTTGGACCGTCCGAATATTAAATTTTCTATAATGGATACTGAGCGTCAAAGTCTATCTCCTTATACTCTCTTGGTCAGTCGTTGAAAGAATTGACAGGTTGTTTTACATTTTCCATTGGGCTGAAATAGGGTTTCGAAGTAGTGTATTGCGCGAGTAGATCACGTATTCAACTTCCGAATCTAATGATACGAGTAATTTTAACTAAAGTAGTGAAAAAATTAATTTTGTGTTAAAGCATGAAAATTTGTATTTTTTTTTAATACAAGCAATTCCGATTACAACAATCACCTACTACGTATATCGTAGATTTCTTTTAATAAAAAAAAACATTTTTATGTAAAATAGGGATTTAAGATGCAAATCTGTTGCTTTAATGTAGGGATCAATTTCAGGTCTTATCGCTGCCCTTCCTTTACATGTATCTACTAACTTTTTATATTTACTACATTGTATATAAAATTAGTATGTATTAAATAAAAGTAACACGGCTGACAATGGCTATCATCAGGTTAGAATTACCATAATTTTGGTTAAGTATTAGCTGTTTTAATGATAAGGTAGAATTTCGACATAAGAAAGTTGTTCTCTTTATATTATCCGCCATAAAACTGAATTTATATAAAAGTAGTTAGTAGATGGAGCGGTAAAACTGCGGAAAATTTACG